CCCACCAATTCCCCAGTGTATGCCTCGTGGTCTAGGTCAACCAGCGCCGCCATACACCACGGAGCGGGGGTCAACTGCTAAGCCACGCCTACCCCCGCTATTTAAGACCTGACCTCGTGGTGATCTGTCTCTCTTTCTACCTACACCAACCAGCCAGCAACACCTCCGCCTGCCTGGCGGTCCTCGCTCCTCCGCCTGCCTGGCGGTCCTCTCTCCCGCTGGCGAGCATGGCGACCCACAAGCTGTCCTTCTCTGAGCGTCCTCACCAACCAGCTCTCTCTACATCACGCTTGTAACCATGCTGCCTTCCCAGCACCAAGCTGCATTGTACATCCAATACAACATGTATATAGAGAGCACATTGTGAGTTTCCTTTCTCCATCCCATCCTGAGTGTGAACCAAACATCTTGAACCCCACAATACTGTACTGATTAATTACGTGTTATTTTCTTATCCTGTTTGTTTGTGCCATACTTTTTTGTTTCGCATGTTGTGTGCATCATAGATCGACATTTTGATGTATGTTTTGATTAATACAGTCTCATGTTATCAAAACATTTTAAAATAGATGCAAATTCCATTTATTGGAGCTGTGATGTAGGCTGCTGAATACTTCATACGATTTTAAAATAAGTAATGAAATAAATGGTTTAGGTGAAGTTCACAGTAACAGCTGATAGATGGCTTTTGTGAGCTGTAATTCTTTGGCTCAAGAATGATGAAATATATTAAATTCTTTGTGAGTAATCAATGGCCGAGAATTATTTATGTTGGAAAACAATACATCCAGAATAGACTAATTTTTTCAAGATATAATAGGATTACCAGAACTACAATAAGTTTAACTTGCAGTCATATAGAATACCGTAAGTACTCCTGTTGGTATAAGGGGATCCTTTAAAGGATAAACACTGCACAGGAAAATGGGTTTCCGAATTGATTGCTTTATAAATGGAAAAAAATAAAAAGTCACAATGTTCATAAACAAAGCAAAAGTAATCAAATTCAAGAACTGACTAAACCGAGTACTGCTCGAACCGAAATGCCCACCATGAGTTGATAGAATTGGACAAATCTTTGTGAAAACTTTAATTACAACCTATTAAGTAGATAAATGGAAACTAGAATCCACTCAGTGTTGTTAAGTATTCTTTTACGTTTTTTTCTGGTAAGTTGGGTAAGATTAGGTAGCTTACTTTAGGTTAGCCTAAGTTCTAATAGGGCCTCTGTATTCTCTTTAACCGGGACTCTCCGATAGTGGCTTTTGGAACGATTTTCCAAGGGGTACATTTTTTGGAAAATTCTGAGAAAATTTTCCCAGTACCCAGAAAATTCTGGGGATGGGGGAGCTTTTTCCGGGTTTGAGATAAAAATCAGGCACATTTTCCAGAAATTATGAGAACATTTTTCCTGTACAGTTGCCAGCAAAAATTCTCCCACAGCCCTGTGTAGCAAGTTTGTGGAAGGACTTTTGCTGGCAATTGTACCTGGAAAATTCCGGGGATGAGGGATTTTTTCCGGCATTGAGTGAGCTGCCTCATCCGGAAATCTCTCATTCCCGGAAGTGCTCTGCACCATTTGTTTCTGCTAACGGAGATATCACTATTACAAATAACGTTTCCACAAGGTTTCGTCCAATTCTATCAACTCATTATGGTGTTAGTAAAAAAAAAACTACCTAACTGACAACTGGACAAATATCCACTGCCTGTGTTACTAGTTTCTTACGTTTAGTACTTTTATCCTTTTCACCAATGATCATCTCGTTAGCAGCTTGGGTGGTTGGTTATGTCTGTTGCGCACTGTTGGCAAGTATTGGTTCCAGAATGTATCTGAACCTGCACCAATGTTGGTCAAGTCTGGTCCTAAAAGAGCTCACACTCGACAGTCGCAACATTGGTAGATTGTTCCAAGAATTTACAATCCTCACTCTGAAAAAGTTTGCCCTCACAATTTTTTGGAATAGTGGCTTCTTCAACCTTGAGCTGTGACCCCTTGTGGGACAGGTGTCAACCAGCTCCAGGTATATAGACACTTGACCGAGTAGTATCCTTTGAGATGCTTATAAACTTCAATTAGGTCACCCCTTGCCCATGTACAGTATAAGATAGGCAGTTGCAGGCATTTTACTGGAAGAAATTTAAGAAATGGAAGGATGTAATGCAGGCAGAGTATGACTGAATATGGTGAAAAACGATAGTAAAGATGAGTGGCTGGACCTTTTGTGAAAAATGGAGAGTGGCTGTATGGTGGAACTCAATGAGTAAACAAAAGGGGCTGTGAGGTAAATAGCAGACTGTAGGATATTACACTAAATGTCTTGTATGAACAGGTATTAAAGTGGCCTTAGCAAAGCTGGAAAAGCTTAACATTGGGATGCATCCCTGGACTGTATTGATGAGTTTTGTTACCTGGGTGACATGATCAATGCTGGAGGTGGTGCTGAAGCAGCTCATTTGCAAGAGTCAGAAGTGTGATATAGTATAGCAGTTAAATAGTGTGAGATATGTAGACTTGAGGTAGTTAAAATGAACCCTGTTCAGAACTATGAGGGTGGCTGGATATTGAGAGTATTGGCAAGGCTTTGCACAGAAGTAGTCTGAGATTGTTTGGGGATGTTGAGAAAATGTTGGAGACCAACTGGGTCAAGAATTTCATGAGTTTGAGGGAGAGGTTGTAAGAAATGACTCCTGTTAGCATTCCAATGACAAAAATATCATCATCGATCTCAAAAACTTGCCAAAAATCTATTTATCACTTGATTTTCATGGTTCAAGTCCCAACACCATTGTCATTGTCTTCCCATTCTTGTCGCAAAACTGTGGTGGACGTGAGGTGTTAAGATAACTGCCCTGTGGGCCTGCAAGCATCAGTGTGACCCAAGGATTTACAATGCACAGACTCTACCCACTACAGTATTTGGCAATATTCAATCATATTTTCATATGTTGTTAGATTCAACTTCATTTGTAAAATAATATTATGGAGCAATCATTTGTGAAGAAATACATATTTAGAAAAAGAAACGCGGTGGAAAATAATGTAAAAAAAAAATATGCTGTGATTGTCGTCAGCTGAGCATGACCTTGCCTACCTTGGGTAGTGGCAGCATGCATTCCATGGAGCCCCAAAAGCATTAAGTAATTCAAAATAATCAGCTTACACATCACAATTTTAAAATAATAGAAACACGTGAAACCTCTGAGATGATAGTGGTGGTGGCAGTTGTATGTGGTAGTTGTAGGTACAGGTACTCCTCGAATTACAACAAACCGGACATTCGACTGCCATGGTCGTATATAATATTTTTCAAATTACGTATTTTCTAGTACCGACGTTAGCGACCGCGTTGTGTACGGACCAAATTTTCGTTTAGAATTCCCTTTAAAATGGCTGGCAAGCGTAGAAGTGAGAGCTCTCGTGGTGCTGAGAAGAAAGAGAGACACCCATTTTAGAATTTCTATATTATTTTTGCCTTTTCGACTTATGAGCTGGTCGTCAGGACGGAACCCCGTCGTAAGTTGAGGAGAAACTGTATGTATTCTTCAAGTGTTTGGCCGGGTGCAGCATCGTTAGAGAAGAAAAGGTTTAAGACCTAAATTTACTTGATTTTCCTTGACTGGTTGCTATCTCCCCATTAGTAAATTTCTAAGTAGTAACTTCTCATTTTCTTGCTATATAGTGAGTTTGCGAACCTGTATAATGCCCCCAAAGCTATACAGCACAATAATTAGAATATGTGATGCACAGCATGCACCATCACAGTCCTAGCATAGAAAAACACTGGGCAACTGTTAATGTTCCTGTCTCTCAGCCACATTCTCACCTCTGGTGCAGTCAGGATGAGAGCCATGCCTAAGGTGGCTGTTGGAAGACTCATTATCTGTGCAGTGATGAGCAACCATGCTATTATGACAGCATTTCATAGGGATCTTGCAATGCATTACAAAACATAGTTCCAATTTGAAAGGTATGTTACTGTATAATGACAAGTCATTCTCACAGTAAAGTGAAAAATCACAAGTGTAACATTAAATATTTATCATTAACATAATTTTCTAAAATGAGCATGATGAAAGGGACAAGAAGAGTGCTGAAGTTTAATATAGGCACACTGATGAATTCAGACATGCACAGGTTAGTGCATCATATCTGAGGACTAGTACATTAACTTGGAATTGGTCAGAAACAAAAGTCAACATCTTCAATCATGTTGCAGCCACAATCTGAACTGGGAAGATATAATGTAAATTATGTTATTACTATACAACAGATATACTGTACAGTACAGTATTTGTCACTTTTTGTGATCTTTTATCTTAGTCCAGTATTGTAGTGTTTTGAGCAGAAGTGAATTCTTTAGAAGAACTGGGGCCTTTGAGAAACAAAATACCAGCTATTATTACAGTATTATTATTATTATTAACACATGCTCCTACTGGTGCAAAAAGTCAGTCACATAGCTGAACTGGATAACTGAAAGGTGAATATAATATGCCTAAAAAAATTCAGAGCTCAATGTTGGATACCTTTTACATGATCCCACTCATAAGCTTGGGTGGGACATACAGAGAGATGGACAAACACATGGACAGTGTATGATTTGTATACACAGTGGAGGCATACAAATTTGAATTTCTTTGTGTCTTCTAATTTCTATTAAAGTACTGTATGATAAATAAAAAAAATATACCTGTATAACCTTTTAACAGCTAAAATAATTTTAAAAATAAAAACAGCTTCAATTATTAAAAACTCCCTGTATATATATATATATATATATATATATATATATATATATATATATATATATATATATATATATATATATATATATATATATATATATATATATATATATATATATATATATATATATATATATATATATATATATATATATATATATAAATATATATATATATATATATATGTGTGTGTGTGTGTGTGTGTGCAGGGTATATATATGTATATATATATATATATATATATATATATATATATATATATATATATATATATATATATATATATATATATATATATATATATATATATATATATATATATATATATATATATATATATATATACATACATATATATATTATCTTTCTTCAATTTGTCTCAAACACAAACAGCATACATACATTTTACATATGAACAAAAGGATTACAAATTTCCCTCTTTAAATATAATTTCCCTAGATATAGGAATGGCTCTCAGATCTGTACATAACCTAAATGACAGTACAGTATATATATATATATATATATATATATATATATATATATATATATATATATATATATATATATATATATATATATATATATATATATATATATATATATATATATATATATATACACAGTATATATAAAGAGAGAGAGAGAGAGCGCGCATTTTTTATGATGATGTATATAAAGCTCTTTACTCTGATGCCTTGAGCAATAGACTAGTCATTTCCTCTATGACAGACAGTTCTGTTATTCCTCTCATGAGATAACATATATCTTGTACCTAAAACTTGTTACCTTAGATGGTTATGATAATAATGACCAGATATGGAACATCGTATGAAGGATATGTAGAGCATACAGTAGAAATAAAAAATAACTATATACTGACGCTCTAAATATTAATAAATACAGTACTGAAGTGAAAATGGTCACTACAGTGTTTTCAGCTAAGCAAATCATTAATGTCAGAAGTACTTAGTGGTTTAACTCCAGTATTTGTAGCAGCTGAGAACAATGTATTCGTCAAGGGCTGCATGGGAGACATCATGGAGCCAAAAGAATTTGTAGAGTTTGGTACTATACTGGAGTTGACTGTTGTGTTCATGGTGGTATTGTATGTCATTTGGCTCAAACTCAATGGTTTTGACTGAGTGGGAAGCAAATTATTGAATGCAGAATAATTGGGTGTTTGCATTCTTGCATTCTGAGCTGGTGCTTGACTTGGCCAAGACATCATTCCACTTACAGACTGTGACACCCCCCCACTAGTAGGTAACATTGATACATTACTTGGTCGGCCTATATAGTTCATACTACTCTTATTTATGTCATTCATAATACCTAGACCTGAAGATGAATTTCCAACTGCTGATGATACTCCTTGTTGGCTATTTCTTGATGTCATTAGTGTCTGAGTAGTCTGACTATTCATCGTATTCAGGTTGGAGTTTATCAAAGATGGTGCAAGGTTGGGGGATGCCTGGGAAGTTGGTGACAGCGCTGAGATATGGCTGCGAGGAACTTGATTTTCTAATGGTTTCTTTATGCTGCTGGAAGGAGCTGGAGGCGATGGAAGGAGAGGTGGCGGCTTTTGAACTGCATCTTGCAATCCTTGTTGCTTAACCATCCTGATGAACAAACAATTATTAGCATAAAGAAAAGAAACACGTATGAGATTGTCATGAAAATTAAAAGAATAAATTCTTGCAGATAATATACAGTAAAACCTTGATAAATCGGACTTCAATATATCAGAATTCACTTCTTTCGGACTCCAAGATGCTCTAGTCACCAGAAAAAAAAAAATCTGTACAGTGGTCTAATCTGACTTGCTATAGGCCTACTGAGAACTAAGCAGACTGGGGCTGATCAGGTGTTGCCACATTCGTCAGGTTTACTTATTTATTGATTCAGTATTATATTCTAATACGAATGGCTCCCAGATAAACTTACAATATACTCCTACACTTACTTGTTTTTATTTTTATCTTTGTAGTACAGCCACTCCTCGACTTACGACCACCCGGACATACGACCGCCCCAGTCGTACCAAAATTTTTTCAAATTACGTATTTTCGAGTCCCAACGTTAGTGATTGTGCTGTGTACGGACAAAATTTTTGTTTGTAATTCCATTTAAAATGGCTGGTAAGTGTAAAAGTGAGAGTTTTGTGGTGCTGAGAAGAAAACGAGACACCCATTTTAGATTTTCTATGTATTATCTTCGCATTTTCGACTTACGACCTGGATTTGGGTCCCTAACCCCGTCGTAAGTCGAGTGGCTGTACTGTACAGTATTCAGTTTTCTCTTTGTTCATAAGGCAAATTCTGTGGTTACTTACATATAACACTTCAGTAAATAACATTCATCTCGGTGGCAACCAGACTTACATGTCTGATTTTCAACCCAGAGAGTTGTGTCATAATTTCTTTTTATTGTTGATGTAATATTCTTTTAATAGCCTTGTTATACACTTAAAGACCTTAGTTGTTGAAGTGCAGTAATAAAATAACAACAACTGATTTTCTTTAAACAGTTCAGATAATCAGTATTATCCCCATATATTTGCTTTTCTCAGACTCGCATTTTTCGGACTGGTGCCTGCCACAACTAGTCCAATTTATCGAGGTTCTACTGTATACTGTTGTGGTTGACACTCGAGAGTCTCATTTCCTGTGAAAGATGACCACATTATTTGTGAGATGGAGAACTTACTTACAGTGTGGATGAGCAAATCAGGACCTGGATTTAAGTAAATGAAATTACATATGTACACTAATTTTATGGTTATTTAATTGTATTTGAGTACTTATTGAGTACTTATCTGTCTTTCCTATGCTTCTATTACTACTTTTTAATTTAAAAAATAAGTATTTTATTGTGTAGGTGCAACACAGAGCAACTAAGATGATTCCGTAACTATGTCATCTCAATTATCCAAGTAGACTGAGGACCTTATGACTAACAACTCTTCACACTTGCCTCTGTTTATCCTCCAGTGTAAGTGACTGTGACTTTTGGTTGACTGTTGACTCTTTTCCTGTGTTCCGGTTAAGTCCCAAACCAAAAAACATATCTGTAGTCGCGTCAACTGCTGAGACCACAGACCCATTGCTGGTGTTGGTGCTTCCTGCTATAGTTGTGGGCATTGACATCTGTAGGGCTCTGTAGTGATCAAACATGATACAAATTAAAAAGATTTGTAGCAAATCTGAAATTAAAAAAATTAATTTTTATTATTATTGTCCTTTTCAAAATACATTTATTTAAAAAATGACACAAGAAACACTATATTGACATCACTACCTGAAATATGCCAAATCTCCCCAGTTAGTCAAGAAAAGTGACGGTCCAAACTGCACATAATTAATTTACAGCCCTCTTATCAAAATGTGTCTTAACTGTTAATAGGAGTTTGACATCTATCTCAAAGGCATGTTGGCTCTCTACACAGCTGTCACTGCCAACATCAACCCTCTCTGACTAGAACCATCTCAAATCTTCATTATTGCTGAACATCGGAGGAACAACCTCAAGTTAATTTGATGAGTATACTTCTGTTGTACCCTACATAGATCTACCTTGGTTAATTTGTTGAATTTTGTTCACTCAATTCAACATAGTGTGGAAGCTGTACATATTTTTATGGTAACCGGTGACTCCATAATTATTCTTATATAATGACTGGTATATTAATTACAGTCCACTTGAGTTATTTGAGTATTCTGAAATTGGTTATAGCTAATATGTATGATCACATGAGCATGAATGCATGCTTATGTTCATTATACTTACTTCTGTTCATCCTTTATTGAATTCAACTGCTCTAGCTTTGTTCTATGCTCTGTCTCCACTTTCTCTGCCATATCCTGAAATGAATGAAAATAAAGATTATTTAATAAAAGAAACACTGAGGACATATACAGTCTCTGTACAGTAAAATGATTGCTCAGTTTTACAATATGTATTAAAAAATTCACACCATTTACCACTGTGAGATGGCTAAGATTAGTTTTATGATGGTCACTACCCAAATGCTTTTCCTGCACTGTCACTGCCAAGAAAAAGTTATGTGCAATAACTCGCATACCCTGTTCTTGCACACTTTCTCTCCTTACAACATGCATCTATCACCTTCTACGTGGTTTTCACTGGCTTTTTGGGATTCATTTAGTAAGAGTTTTCACATCACGACACTTTTTGTGGAACCTGTCTCTCATGCTAAGTGAGGACTACCTGTACTGTACTGTAGTATAATATATTATACAGTATTATAGAAGGAGAAAGAAAGAGAGACCTTTCTTTCATTTTTTAGTTATACAATATAATGTATCATCCATACCTTAATAAGAGTCATGATTGCTAAATGCTGTGTTGGTGTCAGAGAATTCTCGATGCTGAGAGGAAAGAGAAATGGTAAAACCCGAGTTGCTAATATTTCTTTTGTGATGCCCAACTTCTTGTGGTTCAGTGCTACCTTGAAGACACCTGTAGATGATAATTCAGGTCACTTATGATAACATGAACAAGAAGACAACTGTTTATGGAAATTTATAAAAGTTGCACAGTTCCAGACTGGGCAGTTACATGTAAGGAATTGAGTAAGAATGGACTGGATATTCTTCAGTAATTACTGTACTGTATATTCTGAAAAATGTCACTGGAATTACGACAATAGACTAAACATATAGAATGTAAGATCAGTGTGTGATTAAACCAACGAAAATACACATTTGCTTTTTTTTTCCAGAATTAAGAAATCCCTTTCCATAACCTTTAAAATATTTGTTCTATCATGAACTCACCAACAATGGCCATAACTACAGGAGATTCTCTTGATGGTATTTGTTCCAGGAATGGAAAAACATCATCCATAACCAACCATCTATCAAGGTGTTCAAGTATTTTGCCCACACACACCAAGCAGTTGACTCGAACCTGAAAAAGTTTAGGAGTAATGTATCCTGATAATATAATGTTCCTTATGGCATATTCTGCTGTCAATAGATTGTAATAAATAATGTTATTAAATGAATGTGAACTGGTGACTTGGATGTGGAGGGTTTAAAAATAATAAAACAGGATTCTGTATTACTCACCGAGAGATAACCAGTTCCAAGGCAAAGTTTCTTTATCTTGGGAAGGAGTGCATTCTTCATGGCATGGTTCTCTACCAGCTGAGCACACGATGGTATAACACTCAAACACAGCTCTTGGATCTGCTGTGTGTCGCACTCCAACGCACGGTACAGTAATGGCAATACATCACTTCGAACATCCTCAGCAGGTGTTTTCCCGAGGAGCAGCTCCATTTTTTGCATCAACTGCAACATTATCTGTCAATGCATAAAACAAAAATATTCTGTAAACAGAAGCAGAACCAGATTAAAAAAAATTATATTGGTGGAGCAAGGAATGAAAGAGCAAGAATTAGAAGAGTAATGGAATGATTTTAAAGGAATAACACTACTGTAGTGTGTGTAGTAAAATTATAAAAAAAAATAATTAGTCAAAGGTGGCTGAAAGAAGTTTAGGGAACTGTTGGTTTCATTAAGCTGAGAAGATGACCTCTTCATATGTAAAGGAAGTTGTATGTCACCAGTAACTTGGGTATTTGAAAAGGATGGCATAAGCTGGCTTGAGCAAGGTGATATGAGAATGGTGAGATGTAATGTGACACTGAATGATAGGAGGCCTTGTTCAGAGCTAAAAGCGCAGGCAACTGGATAGTGATGGTACAGGTATCCCTCATTTAATGATGAGTTTGCATTCCTGAAAACCTAACCTTAAGCAAAATTATTGCTATAAAGAGGGACAACAGCAAAGCACGGAGGGCGAACAACAGGTTCAAAAGGCAGAACAGTAAATAATGAATACTGTACAGTACTGTACCCCTTAATAATAATAATGAATGAGTTGTTATAAACAGTTTTGAAGTTATGCAATTGATTTGCTGTATTAACACCAAACTGTACCTGAACTGGTTCTGAAAGCTTCATTATGGGTTTCAGGTGAGGGAGGATGTGTTCCACAAACTCTTCCTTACTGGCTCGTTCAGCCACAAACAAGATTACAGGAAGAACAAAAGGTACCATAGTTGTGTTGATACACTCTTTCATCAGGCAAGGCACAATTCTGAAACATATAAATTAGTACAGTATAAACAAAGGGAACTGATTCCCAAAATCCTATTTCATAATTATGGTCAGGCCAAGGATTAACAATATGGAGTATTTGCTAGTCCCAATTGATACAGCCGACGTGATCACTATTAAATATGGAGGCAAAGCCTTGTCAAAACAACTAATCACCCTAATGCAAACCTAAGCCCCCAGGTAGTGTTAGAGTGAACAAGGTACTTAATTTTTTTCTGTATATTATTTACATGCATTACTTATATTACTTCTTATACAATACAGTATATGACTTGAAAATCCCCCACCCTCTGGAATTTTCCACCCTGTACTGGGGAAAATTTTCTGAGATTCTAAACTACACATTGCACAGGAACAGACTCAGAGCTGTACTGTATTTATTTATGCAATCACCACTGTACACATACAATATATTGCAAATAAACAAAATATACTACTGTTTGCACTATACTGTAATCACCAGTAGATGCTGTCAAGGCAAGTAGAAAAAAGTGTCCAGGCAAGTACAGTATATACAGTATTTCAAAAGTCACTTGCCTGGGACAAATAAATGTTGCACATAATCTGCACAACCTGGTAGAGACCAAAATAGACCTGAAGAGATTGTGTTTGATTCAGTTTACTCAAGAGCAGCATGTCCCAGAAACTCTAATTTGAAATATTTAACCAAGAATAAAGGTAAAGTGGAAGAAGAGGAAGAAGGAAAAATGGAACCTACAGTGATCACAACATTAGAGTACAATACATGTTTACTCTAACAACAAAGGCACAAGAGCTCTGAGCTTAACAATTCACTCACCTCAACAGACACACCCGATGGGGTATCTGGGGAATAATTTGTGGTAAGCTCTTATAGAACTGTGACTTCTGCATGTTATCCCACTGAAACATTTGGTCGAGGTAGCTAAGTGTTTTAACTCCCACATCTTCAAAATAGGCTATCTGAAAAATCAAGGCTATTTTCAGAAGATATTATAATACTTGTTGATCCTCTCTTACCCAACAACCATGGGACCAGGGCTGTGCCGGATGATAGAAATTTCCAATAAATATAAAGTCAATATTCCACGGTACATTAAGCTATGCTAAACTTAGCCTAATGCTCCATAAGTTTGTGAATTTCTTTGTATACAAATTTGTACATCATGGTGAATAAACTGAATTAATAAACAAGTTATGTGACATTATTGTTTAATTTCTAAATGTATAAATGAAATTATAAAACAATAAATGAAAACATATGTAGAATTTATGCATCCCAAGCCATACAGTACTCAGTCTGTTCACTCAAACTTTGTAAAATAAGGCCTGGAGCTGTTTGTAACAACACAGCTGATTGGCTGATAAGAAGACATGCAAAGGGTCACTCATCCAAGATTTAGTATTTAATTATTTACCTGTAGTCTGCAATTTTATGGAATACTGTAATAAGTATTCAGTGCTGATCTCTGACAATTTCCACACTTAAGGAAGCAATAATTAACTTGTGAAACAATCTGGTAACACTTATAACGTAAAGAGAACAAGGGAAAGATTAAAAATAATTCGGCGACATTTCTGCTCTTTTTGGCCACCGTGCTGCATGATGTCATGTGGTGAAGGAGAATTTGAAGTCTCTACCCCAAAGATTTCCTCCCCTCAAATGAATCCATTAAACACTTTTTCTTTCTGACAACAAACACATCCCATGTCACAACCAAGATGTCTGTTCTTTGTTATGACCTTTATTGTCTTGTGTTCATATAAGTGAAAATGGGTGTACCTGTAGAAAACTTGCAATTTTGACAGGATCACATCTGACCCAGGCCGGGAATGTATCCAACACACAGAGGTGTGAGATGAACCCATTATCGCTGTATCAACATGACACTGAAATGTTTCATTACCAATAATACTGTACCATATTGTTTCCACATAAAAATCAATGGGCAAGAAAAAAAGAGTAGGCTAAATTTCATAGCAATACTATATATAAAAAGAGTTTCCATTACCTTGGAGAACTGTAGAGCATCTGGCCGAAGTTGGGGAGTTGCATGCAGTAGCAGACGAACCTGATCTCTTAAACCGTCTGGGATCGATAAGAGATTCAGTGTGTTTGTATTCTTCAACTGTTGGGTAAAGAACAAATGTGCTTTACCCTTAAGGAATAAGGACATTAACATAATATTTAAACATATTCTATAAATAAACAGTTGATAAACAATATTTACTTTTTATGACTAGCATCTTGTGTTAGTAGATTTTTAGGTGTTTAGTGCTGCACAACTGCTACTCAGAATTTCCTTAAAAATCATAGTTATCGTTTTTACTTAGAAACAACAAATCACTTATCACAACAATGAAAAACTAAGAGTTACTGTATGTGAAAATAAGCATGTGAAAAGATTAGTCTTTTATCACCTTATCTACAGTACAGTATTTTAATTTTACATTTTCTATAATTTCTGGGAAATTCAGTTATTGTTTCTAAGTAATAACCAACTCACAAAAGGTTATTGTACGAAAATTCTACTTATTAGCAATGTACAGTAGGGTGTTTCAAAAAACCCCAAATGGCATTTTGAACTAGCTTTCCACCATTCCCCCATTCAAACTCTAAGGCTGACTAACCTCACAACAGTTTCTCTTAAATGTTCCAAAATCTTTATTATTATGGAAGAGTGGTCTGCCTTCATTAAAAATTGCATGAATGATGACTCCTAGAGGGAAGAGATCAGCTGCAGTATCCAGTGTATGAGTCAGAGCATACTCAGGTGCCAGGTAGTCAAGATGTGGTTGGCAATTTGGATGTCTTTTTGGATCATATTCTTCAAAAGGCCAAAATGGCTGAAAAAAATCAACAATTACTACAGGAGAAACAACTTCTTTTTCAGTAATATGCAAGAACCTTTTCATTATAATTCACAAAAAAAGATTATAAAATCAGTTAAATAATTGAATATAAATGCAAATACCTATACTGTACAGGTATTTTTCCAATTTAAGATGGGGTTGCATTCCTGGAAACCCAAATGTAACTCAGGAGCCTTTTAAAATGGGTTTCAATGGGATATGTTCCTGACCTGACTGACACAGTCATGTATCACAGAAAAAGCTATTCTACACCAATTAAACAAAAAATTAAACAACACTCACCACATGAATAATAATAAGCCTGCTGCTTAAAAATGTCTATCTATATCTCCAGAGACATGGTCTTCCTCAAAATCTTGCCTTTCCCAGAGGCAGGAGACTCTACAGAATGCTTGTTAGCCACTTGGAGTTATTAATCACTTCATAGTTACCAAAACAAAGCAAAAATTTGAAGATAGTGTTTTCCTCTCACCAATAATGGCAAATATCACAGCAATCACAAGGTTATGTAAAGATAAATAACAATAACACTGGTTACATGAGTGAGGGCAGGCTCGATAATGTTGGAAAAAGCGCAGAAAAGAATATGCAGGGTGGCTGTCAGACAGCATGCGGGTAGCTGAACTGCTAGGAGGATGGAAAAGCAGTTTCTGTGAATAGCGGTAGGTAGTAGGCAGCTACCAAACAGGGAGGTACTACCACCTGGGAAGATATTGGAAGCATATTGTCTAATGGTAGACCCTGCTGCCATATGGCATCACAAAAATTGTGACCGAGTCCCAGGTTGCTGATCTGACATTCTGCCTCATTTACACACAATTGCAGTGTCTCAATTGTTTCTCTTACGACATGATTTAACAACACACATACAGTGGGGTATGCTATAACAAACGGATCCTACTACGAATATTCCTATAACGAACGGTTTTACCTATAAAATTGAGAATGCTATAACGAACGCAACTCCTACAACGAACGCGGATGAATACGGGACTATTTCGCCTGGCGCATGAATATTGTTGTACCGCGACCCACAATAAGAGCGTCAGGCGCCATCTTTGTCTCATTGTGTAGCCAGTGCACCACTGTTATTGTTGAAATTTCATCTTTTAATGTGGAAATTCGCGTTATTTGTATAACTATTTTGTTGTACAAGTATACAATTGTAACAATGAATCGTCCAAAGCGAGTGAGAAAGCTAATAACCCTTGAAACTAAGAAAGAAATTATAAAGAAACGTGAGAATGGAAGAAGCATTGCAAAACTTAGTGATGAATATGGGATGGCTAAATCGACTATATGTACGATTTTGAAGAATAAAGGGGAGTTAAAAACAGTGCAAGTGGCTAAGGGAATCTTTAGACTTAGCAAAGCAAGGTGTAGTGTGGATAAAGGAGAAAGAAATGGCAGGTGGTAACATTAGTGAAGCTATAATTTGTGAGAAGGCTAAACAATTGTTTGAGGACCTTAAAGCCAAGACTCCCAGTGGAAGTGATAGTGCTGTGCCAGTGTTTAGGGGTACCTGCATGCTGAATAACACTAAGGTAAGATAAAGTACCGTATTTTTTACATTTTCCACAGAATTTTTTCAGTGTTAAGTGGTTGTATTTGGGGGCCTGGAACGGATTAATCCTATAAAGAACGAATGCTATAACGAACGAGGTTCTGGAACCAATTACGTTCGTTATAGCATACCCCACTGTATATAGTTTCTCACTTTTGATCTTTTTTAATTTTTTTTATTCCTTTATGGTTCTTTATTATTATTAATATCATTAATATTTTATTTTAAAATATGTATTTTTTAATATAAATTTTATTTACAGTACTGTACTATGAATTATTATTATTATTATTATTACCCTATATTATTATTACACTTTCGCCCCCCAGGCCCTGATGTGAGTCAGTGACCTGAGACCGAGTGGGCTAATTTCTGTGTATTGATCATAAAGTTGTCAATAAGAATGCTTTTCCAATTACACAACAGATTGCAATGGGAAAATTGGTTTTGCATTATGTAATTGTACACTTTGGACAATTCTTAAAGAACGCATCCCTTCCATAATGTGGAGGATTTACAGTATGCATTTAGCGCAATCCAACGATCCATGAAGAGGCAAATTGTAGGCTGGGCAGGAGTTACTGTACACAGAAATTTAATAAACCACATTAAAGAACAACTTACAGGTTGGTCAGCTGGAGTTTGATTCGCCACACAAAAGTCAAATCCAAAGAGCTTCCATGCTCCCTGGTGGTTCAGTACAATGTTCTCTGGACATATGTTACAGTGAACAATCTTCACAGAATTATGCAAGAATGCCAGGCCTTCATTAACCTGCAAAAGAAACATGTCTGATCTATCTGTCCAGTGTCACCATTTACTAGATATAAAAACATTATTGTAGGTATCTGAGGAAAAACTATTGATGCACCTGTGAAGGTTAATTCACCTCATTTCTTACATTTATAGTTTGTATTGAAATATTGAAATTAAAAATAAATACACCTGACCCTAGCTTAAGGCACACTCACCATTATTGTACAGTATATCGTAAACACATGAATAAATCAAAGTTGGAAATCATACCTGTAGTAGACCATATTTAATCTCAACATCGTAAAGCTTGTAATCTTTCAGCGTGGGTGGTGATGGTACAGGCATGTTTTCTGTGTGTCCTAGAACATTGGCTAGTGATGCAAACACTGGTTCAGTGGCAAATGCTATGGTTTCTCTTGATTCTTCAAGAGGATGTTGGACTGTGAGAACCTGAAAGTATGTTAAATATGAAATAGCAAACATGTCAACTAAGTAATTACATAATGTTGTCAAGTACCATTTTTGAAAGGTATTTTAGTACTGTACTCTCTATTATCATCATACATTTCTTATGCAATCCCTGTATATTCATCATATTTATACTTGGTTCAGCTTCTTTCTTTACTGTATTTCTATCTTTCACATACAGGCAGACCTTTTACAACTTTCCTGAAGTATCTGTTTAGTTATTGATCCATTAAAAGAGGTAATTTCCCACAAATGTGTGCCTCACAGTATCAATTCTTCTATAATTGCTACAGACAGTTTTCTTCGGCAACGGTAAAATGTCCACACACATTATTAAGACTTTTCATAGATAAAATGAAGATATAAACATGAATAATCATATTTTTTTTTAGCATTCTGAGAAAAATCTCTCTGTTCCAGACATTCAAACGAATTTCTGAGATTTAGCATTACAGTACCAGTATGCATCGACACGTGCCACGCGTGTGGGTGGGTAGGTTAGAGTATGGAAGTTATTTAAATTGTTTACTGACATTAGATCATGCCTATAAATGAAGTTTAAAGTGTATCATTACCTGTGGATGTCTTAATCTTGTCAGTTGTGATACACCTTTTCTTAACTTGTCCAACATAATCTCTCTCTCCTGCTTGTCCCATTTCTCTATCAGACGTTTCTCAAACACAAAAATGGCTGCATCCTGTTTGGTAGATTTCTTATATCCTTTGTATACTTTCCAAAGTAAACCTGCAACAAATTTAACTAATTAAATAAAGTTATTCATATAAACAGCAATTATGATGAGGGGTAACCCTGTTGTAATTACCGGGTATCTAGTTTACTGTACAGCTGACCCTTGCTATTCGCATGGGGTTAGGTTCCATGGACAACAGATACCTTCAAATTGTCAAAATCCCCCAATAGTATTACGTAGTGACCATTTATTTATTTATTTATTTTTATGGTGGAAGGAATGAAGCGCAAATAGTCAAAACTGAACTGTAAAAACCCGCAAATAGGAAGGACTTAACACAGGTTGACTGGGTGAGGAGCAGTAACAGCACATTAAACATGTAATCTCAACCCACCTGGTCCTGCTGATGCTATGTGTGCAGTAGCCTCAAACTCCCTTGTCACTGGGTTACCAGGAAGGTAATTTGACACCTGTGAAGCTATCTGAACAGCATTGGACACCGCACTTGTGGCTGCACTACTTACACTCGACCTCAATTTACTAAGCATCAACTCCATCCTGAAACAACAAATTTTATATAAATTGTTATGCATCAGTGATAGGTCCCAATTCTTTACTACAGCTAACCTAACAATTTGTGGCTTAAATTTTTAATAAAAAAAATAGGCTAATATGGAGGACTTCACAGCCGCTTCCCCCCCACCCCCATCTCAATAAATTCGTTCACAGCAGGTGTTAAATTATGCTAGGTTAGGTTAGTTTAAGTTGACGTAAGGTTAACTTATATAACTTGAACTTTTAAATAAACACTTTTTAACACATTTGCCATAACTACGACAGTGTCCACTATGAAACACAGTGAAATTACGGGATTTTAAAATTCATTTCTATGAAAATCAGCGGCTGTGGTCGTAAATAATTACCCAAAAATAAGAGCTCACCAGTTTCTAGTTAACATGAGTCGCTGTTCCAGAGTATTACCAAATTTTGTATTCAATGGCTGGTTAACCCAGACTTGTTCATAAATACCTATATTATTTATGCCTACTTTAATTGTGTGACCAGGGTGAAGGTTCCCAGTACCTGTAGTGCTGTACAGAAATGTGCTTCATCAAATTAGCCAACAGCAACATTACCAGAACCAAAACAGGTGAAGTGGTAGACACGGGGGCATCGCTGGCCTAAGAATTTCTGCAGCAAAAACACAGGGAGAACAAAATATGGAATTTATAAACCATGAGACATTTTCTTAGCCCCCTAGGTAAAAAATCAGGGTATTATTGTATTTCCGCACCCAACATTCCTACCCCTAATCTATTATCATATTCGAATAAGACGTCTAATTATAAGATAATTTTCTTCTATTACATTACCGTTGCAAATGTATAATAACGGAAATAGCGTATCCAAAATTTTCTCAAATTTTTTCCATTAATCTTCCGCCATTGTCGCCTACCTCACCTGCGTGTCTCCTTCATAAATCACGTGCATGCTTTCCCGTACATGTCACGTGGCCAATCAAAAGCGTTTATTTTTTTTTTGGCAACCAATGAAAATGATTTGTGGTTTAATTTGCGGTATTTTCAGCCCAATCAAATTCTATTTTTATTTTGGGTCTCATATTTCAAAATTCAAATTCATTTCTGACCATGGAAGTCTGCGATGGGTGTCACTTCAATTATATGGAGCTGATTGCGAGTTTTGGGGTCCTCAGTAAAGTGTCCTAAGTGCATGAATGTAAATATTGTCAAGACCAACATATGAGGCATTGTGGTAACTCCAACGACGAACGAGAACCAGGCCAATAAGGTAAGAAATAAGTGATTCCATCATCTGGTGAGAGTCAGTTAGGTTAGGTTAGGTCAGGTCAGGTTTATGTTTTTCTGGTGTTTTTTTGTGTATTTTGTATTCGCTTAGCCATTATTTTTTTTCGGAAAACGCTCCACCAATCTAACCGATCTAAACACATAAATACACTAGAAAAATATATTTGGGTGCACTTATACAAATTTACCAAAAACAACATTTCTTCAATAGGAAAGGTTAAAACTTTCTAAAACTCATCGTTCACATACATATGAACCCTCTGCCCAAAATTTAACTGACATATACGTGTACTGTGTCATATTTATCAAAACCTGCCCATTCTGGCCAGATAACATGAATCAATCAAACCTAATGGTCCTTTTAACAGATTAAGTAAGTTTCATTTTTAATATTATTGTGTTACACATTAGAAGACTACTGTTCTGTTATGTTATATTGCACTTTAACTGATTAATGTACAGAAATGTTGTCGTGGACGAGTACTTCACGCCCTATCAATCATTAATACGTAGCTGTCACCTTTACTCAGCTGGGAAATTCACATTGAATTTTCTAATAATATTGTCAATGTAATTACCTAATGCACTCAACTAAAATAAATAACGTGTATCGTTTCCTTCTCCAACAAATATGAATTCTCTTAAAATCTTATGGAGGAAAATCTAAGACGTGTATAAGTGTCACCTGTTGGAGCAGCAGTTGTTTACTTCAGGCCTCCCTGCCACTGTTACCACACCTCTCTCTCACTCTTACCATAATTATACTAATAGGTGTTAAGAACAAATTTAAAACATCATTGATTTTTCGGAATAAATTACGATTTAATTAAATATTAGTAAAAGAAGGAAAACAATTAGTTTAGTGGCAAATTTTGTTTGGGATGTTTATGGACGGTTGTGTTGTGGTAATACTTGTACTGAGATTGTGTCAGAGGTCTAGAACTTCCGAGTTACACAAGGTTAGTTTTGGAGTAATTACCCACCAGACACCGGCTGACAAGTTAGACTGAATACAGGATGATATTGAAAGTTTGGAGGTATGAATAGATATTGAGTTATGACCCTTTCATCATGGCCGAGTGTAGGACAAAGCCCCTATTTTTAAGTCTTTCCACCGGTAGTGTTCTAATTGCTAGAGTTCAACTACAGGCCCTTGGGATGGAACATAGAATAATGTGCTGTATTTGTTTATGTTTTTCTAGTCAGGTCCATTTGTTTGCTCCATCAAAGTCTCAAGATTCATTTTAGCATCCATAGCTAAATACAGTCTCCACAGCTATCTTGGCCTTAAATGCAGCAAATTCACAGAGGAGAAGGAGGCCCTTTCCTCCTCCTAGTGGAATGCTACACCTCTGCAAAAGGAGCGCGTGGCATCCAAACCTTTCACAATTACTGTACAGTATTCATTTCATGAGCAGTATAAACATGGTTTTCTGTTCCCATTTACATCACCTGATACATTTCATGTTCAACCTTCTAGGCAAGTGATGAAAAATAGGTAAAAGATGTAATTTTTCTTAAAGAAAAATTGATACAATTTGATAATCTGCACAGTAATGTATCTTGTACAATACGTTTTATGGCTATACAGTTGCCCTTGTGAGCAATGACAGTCTCACAAGTCATGGTTTAAGTCTTCTTAGTCTTAAATATGAACTTCACAAGCTAAGTTAATTCTTTATTACATGTACAGTACTGTATTGCTTTTTTCTAAAACAAACAAGAGGTTTTTTGCTAATGTTACCAGTCTATTTATTTCAGCTAATTATGCTCCACTTTTCCCCAGATGGACGAGACAACCACAGAAGGGGCCTCCAAAGGAGGAAGTAACCCTCAAGACTGTAGAGCTGACCTGCGTGAAAGGTTCTTGTGGGCAGTATCATCCCTAATTGGGAGAGATACTACTATAACTATGCATGAAAACATAGATGTAAGTGGTGTGTTTCGTGGCATAGACAAGGATGTTTTAAGCTGTCAAATTCAGAATCTTGTGACACCTGCTATAGTTTACCCTTGGGCTATGATTAGGGTACCTGATTGTTTCAGCTTTAGGTTCAAATTATAATGGTTGTATAAAGCCTTTATCATCAGTATTATAAAATGATCAGATTTAATTAAAAAAATTATTAGCATTGTTCTTTTATTATACAGTTTCATGGAATACAGCAGTTGCATGTATTTCTTAAACATCATATGGTTATGTTATAAAGAAGTTTGATGTGAGAAGAAAACACCACAATTAAAGATGGTTAGTAATTAAGTTCTCACCTGTCTGTACTCAACCCACTTTTACGTGGTAAAGATTGAGCATGTAGAATAACATACGGGAGTATGTTAGTCATTAGGACAAAACCCTGGAATCCTATTTTATGGCCGAGACTGGACTAAATGACAAATGGAGTTTCACATTAATGAGGTTCTAATAATTAATTACTCAACCTGAATTACATCCATTAATACACGTTAATGTGCGTTAACATGGTAGTGTGTTAAACACATCTTGTAAGTACAGTAATGTAGGTAATGGAAATTCCGTACACACAGTCTTCCGCTCACCACAGTAGGCTCTACTGTTTGTTTAGTGAATAACTAAAATGCCTTTAAGAAATAATGATAAACGTAGTCACTAAAATGTGTGAAGGATATTGAACTTAACTGTGTAAAACATCAGCTGGTGATTTTATTGTGGCAAAACTCACTTTATTGTGCATGGTGTTATTTGCTCTTCACCATCGTTCATGGCCATATTCTTTGTGTGTGTGTGTGTGTGTGGGTCATCTGTGACTGCTTGGTGGCAGGGTGTCCTGGTTAAATTGAAGCAAGTTTTATGACTGGATGCCTTTCCTATTGCCAACCCACTTTCACAGAGTGGGAACTGGGCATTATGTGTAGAACATCCAAGCACCCTCTTGGCTGACAAGGCAGAGTTGCTGCTCCATAAGGTAATCAAAAAAATTACCACGGCTGTTGCTTGATGAACCAAGCATGTCAGTTTCACTCCAGATTGGAATTTGTTTTAAACTCCTCTTTGATTGGATGGTTAATGAGTCGGCCTCTCATCATCAACTGGTTCTACTGTACTGTAACTTCTTGCTGCTCTGCCGTCTCTTCCTCCTCTAGCTGTGTCAGCTCTCCCTAATCCTCCAGAGTCAATTCCACTGCATGTGACTTGAACATCTTTGCCTCTTCCAAATCTGAAATCCCAGTTTTGTCAGTCAGTTACAGGCATTCTCTGATCTATGATCTCCCTATCGCATGAATTAATTGGAACTGTTCTATTCATTACAAATACAAATGAAATAGAAAAGACAAAATTTTTGAAATTTTCTATTTCATTTGTATTTGTTATTCAAATTTTGAAAGAGTGAGTGCAACCCTTGTGATTACTATTTTTTAGATTGGGGGTATAAAAGATGTCAATAATATCAGACATCACTGTATGGGGCTATGCTAGAAAAGTGCTTGACTTCTTGAGTATGATACAGGTACGTACTGTACTGTATATATATTTTTTTCCCATTTGATATTCATTAAAAGTTAATTCTCTTATTAAAAGGAGGCTTGTTAAATAATAAATGTACGCACTGGAAAAACTACCCCTGTTCTTAGTTATTGTAATCAATTACAAATACTGTACTACTTCATTGCTTGCCTGCTACAGTACTGGTCATGACTTAAGACAGGTGTTAGGTAAAGTTTTATTACTCACAATCCATACATTATGATTTATATATAACTGTTAAATAGGAGTTAAAATCCATATTAAGAAAGGATTTCCAAAATTAAAAGTCATATCAGGAGTATTTTTCATTTAGCAAAAATACATACAGTATACAATTAATTCTAGAGACAGGTAGGCTATATTAGTTAAAGCTATGTACAATGGCTAAATCAAGAATTAAGTAGGATTTATTAGTTAGAATAACTTTATTAAGATTAATTAATACTTTAGGTAGGATTTACCAGCTAGAATAAAAAAAAATTCCCAACTAAATCAATAGTTAGGTACTGTAGTATTTATTATTTAGAATTTATACTACACTGTATAAATATTTATTCAACAATTTGATAGGATTTAGGAATTAGAATCTACGCATAATAAATAAATCAAGAATTAGCTGAAATTTATTACTTAAAATCAATATATGTATACAGTATAAAAAAATAATTTAGTAGTAAGGTAGAGTTTATTACAGAACTTGAAATCCATATCCTGACAGAAATTTAGTTGTGTAAGGTTTGTATGTTAATATCTCATTAACATTTACTCCTGACTACTGCTGTATGGGCTTTTGTGAGGGATGATGTAAGGTAAAAAGAGTTAGTTGAATAATTACAGGAGATTATACCTTTCTAAATAAACTAGGTTGGGTTATGTAAGGATTAGTTAGGTTAAAACTTCATTAAATAATACAAAAGTGAGGATGGGTCGTACAGTTAGGTAAGAGGTTTACTGGAGGAAACTGTAAGATTTAACGGATCATATGAAGATCCTCCCCCCCAAACCTACTTGGGGGGGGGGGAGGATCTTCATATGATCAAGCCTGGATGGGAGGATCTGACCTGACCAATGACCAAACCTGACCTTACCTGACCTGACGTCACTATGACCACCTAACCTAACCTAACCTAACCTAACCTACACCAATATTTAGTGTAACAAGAAAGTAATCTGAATAATGTTTTATTATTTAATCCTTATGTTGTTTATTTATATTATATGTTGGGGGGGATCTTCATATGAGCGCGACTGGGGGAGGATCTTCAGTTGGATACTTTGGGGGGGAAGATCTTCATATGATCCGATTTAACATATACAGTACAGTATATAGTAATGTACTTGTAACTAATTACTTTTCTGGACGACTACCTTTGACCTTTAATCAAGTAAAAATTGATCAGTAGTACAATACTGTAACTACTTTTTACTTCTATGTTTTTGTAAAAAAGCTATGCATTATGGATGTTCTTTTTTCGTTTTTCTTTAATATTTTACTTATGTTCCAAAGCTGTTTATTCTCTATATTCTTGATAATAATGGAGAGGTAAAATTATTCACTAGTTGACTGGATAATTTTGTTTCATTATTATTTTTTGTTATTATTTTTTATTATTATTTTTTTTACGGGAATTAGCCCACCCGGGCACAGGTCACACACCCACATCGGGGGGGAGGGTGGGGGGGAGAGAAATTGTAATAATAATAGTAATAATAATAATAATAATAATAATAAATAATAAAAATAATTCCTAGTAAATAAAATTTATAAACAAATACAAAACTAAAAATAAAGTAAAAAAAAAAATAATAATAATAACACTGTAACAACAATAATAATAATAAAGAACCATAAAGATATACAAAAATGAAAAAAAAATATATCAAAAGTGAGAAAACAATATATGTATGTTGTGTTGTTAATCACATATAAGGCAATTGTTGCCATTTTTTGTTTTTGCCCCTCTGCTGCCATTAATCACATATAAGGCAATTGCTGTCATTTTTTATTGTCGTCCCTCTGCTGCCATTAATCACATATTAGGCAATTGTTGCCATTTTTTTTTGCCCCACTGCTGCCATTAATCACATATAAGGCAATTGTTGCCATTTTTTGGTTTCGCCCCACTGCTGCCATTAATCACATATAAGGCAATTGTTGCCATTTTTTATTGTCGCCCCACTGCTGCCATTAATCACATATAAAGCAATTGTTGCCATTTTTGTTTTCGACCTCTGCCAACGTTAATCGCATATAAGGCAATTGTTGCCATTTTTGTTTTCGCCCCACTGCTGCCATTAATCACATATAAGGCAATTGTTGCCATTTTTTGTTTTCGCCCTCTGCTGCCATTATTTTCATAGAAGGCAATTGTTGCCATTTTTGTTTTCGTCCCACTGCTGCCATTAATCACATATAAGGCAATTGTTGCCATTTTTGTTTCGTCCCCTCTGCCACCGTTAATCGTGATATAAGGCAATTGTTGCCATTTTTGTTTTCGCCCCCACTGCTGTCATTAACCACATTTAAGGCAATTGCTTTTTTGTTTTCGTCCCTTCTGCCATCCATTAATCACATATAAGGCAATTGTTGCCATTTTTGTTTTCGCCTCTCGCTGCCATTAATCACATATAAGGCAATTGTTGCCATTTTTTGTTTTCGCCCCACTGCTGCCATTAATCACATATAAGGCAATTGTTGCCATTTTTGTTTTCGTCCCTCTGCTGCCGTTAATCACATATAAGGCAATTGTTGCATTTTTGTTTTCGCCCCACTGCTGCCATTAATCACATATAAGGCAATTGTTGCCATTTTTGTTTCGCCCCACTGCTGCCATTAATCACATATAAGGCAATTGTTGCCATTTTTTATTGTCGCCTCTGCTGCCATTAATCACATATAAGGCAATTGTTGCCATTTTTGTTTTCGCCTCTGCTGCCATTAATCACATATAAGGCAATTGTTGCCATTTTTATTGTCGCCCCTCTGCTGCCATTAATCACATATAAGGCAATTGTTGCCATTTTTGTTTTCCCCTCTGCTGCCATTAATCACATATAAGGCAATTGTTGCCATTTTTTGTTTCGCCCCTCTGCTGCCATTAATCACATATAAGGCAATTGTATTTTTTTTCGCCCCTCTGCTGCCATTAATCACATTTAAGGCAATTGTTGCCATTTTTTGTTTTTGCCCCTGCTGCCATTAATCACATATAAGGCAATTGTTGCCATTTTTGTTTTCGCCCTCTGCTGCCATTAATCACATTTAAGGCAATTGTTGCCATTTTTGTTTTTGCCTCTGCTGCCATTAATCACATATAAGGCAATTGTTGCCATTTTTGTTTTCCCCACTGCTGCCATTAATCACATATAAGGCAATTGTTGCCATTTTTGTTTTCGTCCCTCTGCCATCATAATCGTATATATATATATATATATATATATATATATATATATATATATATATATATATATATATATATATATATATATATATATATATATATATATATATATATATATATATATATATATATATATATATATATGTATGTATGTATGTATGTATGTATGTATGTATGTATGTATGTATGTATGTATGTATATATATGAAAACGTGGATAAGATAAATCT